TATATCAATGCATTCGCTACATACTGCTTAAACTTGTGGAGACAGATATGAAACAAACATTAGAAATGGGTTTGTGGCAGAAAGCAGCCATCATAATGAAAGTATTTACAGATCATAAGAAATTATTACATTGTTTCCTTTATTTGCCTTGAGATTTATTTTACAGACTTAAAACTATTTAGAGCTAACAAAATACAGCTATTATTTAAAATTGTACACCATCTCTCAATTTAAGGAATTAACAAATAAGTCTAACTTGGGTCATCAAAGAATGTATAATCTTCTTAAAAGTGAAAGAAATACCATACTACACAAACAAAATTTTTATTTGTTAGATAAAGATTAAACGTACTCAATATATACAAATCTTAAAGATTAATCATGTATTTATGTGATATTGATCATATGAAGGCATTTTATTGCAATTTATGAAAGGAGTAAAAGAGGTTTTTGACATGTTCAAAGAGATTAGTTTCTGAAATATGAAATAAAACCATACATTTCCCTATCATCCATCCACACATCAATCTAGCAAGTGTCCTATTAAAGATGGATTTTTTTGGACACTCAGAGACAACCGACACACAGCTGAACTCAGACACCAATAGCAACTCCAGGTAAGGTGAAAAAAGTGGGAAAAAAAGACCTTATTAAGTTACAGTACAAGCTATGAGAATGAGCAGAAGAATACTGCAGCTCTGTGTTTCTGCTACAGATGACGGTATAATTGGAAAGCACTGTAATACCTTTTTGTCAAGCTTAATGCTTTTTTTAAAAATTGATTTTGAAAGGTGTTTTTTCTAAAGACATCCATATTGGGGTCTGATCGGCAGTGGAACAAGACCAGAGTAAATATTAGGGCAACTTTAATCCAAATAAGTCAAGATGCTCCTTTCAAAATACCTTCAGTATTTATAATTTCTTACCCCAGGTAACATCACACTTCTAAACAAAAGTCCTGTGTGTCAGAGCAGTAAACTGCTGTGCTTGTTCAATGAATGCATGTGTCATTTCAACTTGTCGCCAGAGGGGGCAAACGTCTGCAAAATCTTCTGAACTTGAGCTACACTCCTTTAAGAAAGTTTTTCCCATAATGTCTGATTAGACTCTATTCATAAACACAATCCTCTAGTCATTCTTTCCCCCCCAAGCCCTAAAATCAGCAAATATCAAAACATCTTCAAAAGAACAATTTAGTCTAACTGCTACTGCAGAATGACAGGCATATCTCAGACCTCCCCTTTATCAGTAAATTATAGAAAAAGCTGTGTTTCAACCATTGAGTACCTTCCTTACACTTCAAAATCTTCCAGTCAGCCTTCCTTGCCCACCACAGTAAAGAGACTTTCCTTGTCAAGATGTTCTATGACATCCTAATAAATGGAGGGTGTGGAGGAACCACAGTACTGGTATTATTGAACCATAGTGCAGCATCCCAGACTGTTGATGACTAGATTTTGTTAGGTCCCCAGTAAAAGTGGACTGGCCTTTCTGGGAAAGAGCTGGACTAGCTTAAATGTACTGTAGGACAGAGGCATGTATGTAACTTTATATCAAAGACCAGAAATACCTCATGTGGTGTTCCCCAAAGGTTTGTATTTAGGCCACTTCTATTGAGTATCTAAATGTTCCCCATAACTCAGATTTTAATAAACATCTAAATCAGTTAAAATGCAGAACTGTTCACTATGAACCCAGTCCAGCTCCGGGAAAATGCATAAAAGTAATCAATGCATGGATGTGCCAACATTTTCTTTAGCCTAAAAATCCAACACCAAAACTGAACTAATATTTTTTTGGCCCAAAGGAAGGGTAATGAGCTTTCATTATTGCAGCTACAATTCACTGATCAGACTCAAAATCTGTGTGGGATGGATTAAAACCTGAACACTTAGATGTACACAGTGACTGTAGTAAACCTGAAGAAAGTTTTCAGGATTAAAGGACTACTATCTTAGAAGGATTATAAAAACTTACCCATGAGTTTATCTATAAATAGTTGATCACTGCAAAGGTGTCTTTACAGGACTGCCTAAAAAGATAATAATTCAACTGCAGTTGACGCCGAATGCTGTTGGATTAAAGATGTATGTTTATTAATGACCCAGACCATTCGGCTTTACTGGTTCAAGTATACTCAGCATACTCTGTATCGAAAAAGAGATGTAGAAGTAGTATTTGGTCCTTATGCTTTTCTTACTAACCCCAAGAATACTTTAGAAGCACTTAAACCCTAAGTTGCTTTAAAACAAACTTAAACCCCAATTTTTAGAGTTGCCTTTAATTGTTCTTTTTCAAATGTGAACTAAAACCTCATTAGATTAAGTTAGAAGTCCAACATTTTCTTTACCTTCCTCTGTCATCCATGTCCAATGTCTTTTTTCTGTTTGGCTTTCTTTCCTTAGGCCCTTTTTATATAAAGCACTTTAAAATATGTTGTTTCTGAAATATGCTGCACAAACAAATTTTGCTTTCCTTTGCTATATGATGTGCTCTCATGCACGTTTTTTAAAATCCATCTTCTCTTTCAATCATATGCCT